ATAGGAATAGATCCACCTGAAATCTATGCTGGTGATAATACACTAAGAGTTCTTCAAGAGTATCAGTTCAATTGCTCATCTTCTAATATAACCAGTCTTATATTGGGCATTAATATAAGGAGAAGAGTAGATAAAACTCGTAAACTATATCCTAGTGTCCAGGTCTTTAGACCTAATGGCAGCGATGAATCAAACACCTATTTTCTTGTGACTGGTAGCGAGAGAACTATTTATTATTCTACCTCTAATATCAGTACTGATACTGAAGGGTATCAATATCCACTCAATCCTCCTATACCAGTAATGAGTGGAGACCTGTTAGCTGTATCACAACCAGAACTGACAAGCAGTGTTGTTAGAATCTATTCTACTAGTACTAATGGCATCAGATTTGTCAGCAGTCAAAACATATCCATTGGGTCTTCAACTGTTGATTTGAACGATTCTGTTGATGACCAGTTGATATTAGTATATCCAGTAACAGGTAAGACACACACTCACTGTATCATTGAATTATTTTACTATCATTAGATGGATACTGTGTTAATAGTGCCAATTCAATCAATGCTTCATTTATCAAAGAGAAAGCACTTGAAGTACAAAGATCACAAGCGATTCCTGACAAAAAACAATTCCTTTATCCAGAGGTTAAGTTCAAATGCAATGGATTAATTTTAAAATGGATTTTTGGAGGAAACAACAACGATTGGGAACCTCAGAAGCATAACGAATTACAAATATGGCGTCAAATAGGCAATACTTACACTAAAATAGGATATAGTTTAGTTAATGCTAATAAAATGATTAATACTAATCTCTATGAGTTTATTCCTCAGACTCCACTGCAGTTCCAGGAAGGAGACATATTTGGCATTTATCAAGGTGATGAATTTCTCTATGACCAAAAGTATAATGGCCCAGAAAACTTACGCAGCAAAGGAAAAGAAGACCTTAACTCTTCTCCACAAACAATTAGTAGAGGAGAACTTATGCTTAATCATAATGATTTCCCATTAGTCACTGTGGAAATAATGCCCACAACTAGTGCACAACCAAACAACAAGGTTCTAATCACTATTATATCACTAACTGTCCTATTGATATTAGCTGGAGTGCTTAATGTTACATTGTTAATTGCTATAACTGTTTATTGCATAAAAAGAAAAAAGAAGGGAAAAACACATACTAGGAAATCTCCAAATAATGGCAGTTTGAATAACTTAAGAGTCTCTGAAAATCTTGCTACTTCTAATCCTTTATATGACAATCCAGATGGTATAAAAATTATATATATTTTATAATATTCACATATGCAATGTTAAATTTTAATATACAGGTGTGTATGAGCCAATAATGCCAGTTCCTTATCCTCAAATTCCTTTACCTCCAATACCAAATGATGATCAAGACGTAGAGCAATACAGACAATTGAATGGAGGAATTCATGCAGCTGAATTAGTCCCTACAGCTGTGTCTCCCACAGTGAGTGACCACAATTAATTGGATTGTAAACATGGAATGCAATTATTTGAATGTTTTGAATAAACAATTTTTTAAATGTTTATTTTTGTTGCAGCATGCAATTGAAAGTGCTTATAGTACATTGGATAGGGATGAGCCCAATGCTGTGAGTTAGTATATACACTGAATATGATATAATTAATTATAATTGTACTTTTAGTCTGATGAAAGAGACCAACTAAATTTTAGTGCTACAATTGAAGAGGAACATTTAGAACTGCATGAGGTAGCCTGCAAACATAAACCCAAGTAATATCCAATTTGTACAGGATGAAGAAGATTTGCTTCTTAAAAGTAAACCAGAGTTTTTCATTGAAGAGCCTGATTACTGGGAACCAGAAGAAGACTGTGTTAGCATATACAAACAGTTTTCAGA